CTCGAACTCACAGAGATCCGCCTGGCTCTGCCTCCCGAGTGCTGGGATTAAAGGCGTGCGCCACCACCGCCCGGCTGCAATAAAAACAATTTCTAAGCACATAGAGAAAACTACTAGTCCTTGGAATTCTCCTGTGTTTATAATAAAAAAGAAATCTGGAAAATGGAGACTGTTGTCTGATTTGAGAGCTATTAATAAGATAATTCAACCTATGGGAACTTTGAAGCCTGGAATCCTTTTACCTTCTATAGTATTTAAAGATTGGCCTACAATAGTGATTGATTCACAGGGTTGCTTCTTTATTATTCCTTTACAAAAACAGGATAGAAATATACAATGCTTACTAATAATAATGCTCAAACAGTAAGAAGATATCACTGAATGTCCTCCCACAGAGAATGCTAAATAGCTCAACTTCATGTCAATATTTTGTAAATCAACCACTGGAAATGGCATGTAAACAATTTCCTTAGTCCATTATTTATCATTATATGGTTGATTATTGCCTGCTTCTGCTACAGATACCTTAGAAAAAATGTTTAATATAATAAAGAAATTTTTACCCTATTGGGGATTACAGATTTCTCCTGAAAAAAATACAAAGAGGAGATTCTCTTAATTATTTAGAATTTAAATTGAGTAAACAGAGAATTCAGCCACAAAAAGTACAGATTAGGAGAGATCATTTGCACACTGTTAATGATTTTCAAAATTTATTGTGTGATATTAACCGGTTGTGGCCTACAATTGGATTGTCTACCCCAGAATTGAGTAATTTGTTTCAAATCTTGCAAGGTGACTCAGATTTACTCAGATTTATACAGTTCAATACAGTTAACATCTGAAGTTGAAAGGGAATTAGCCCAGTAGAATGAAAATTACAAAATGACTATATGGATACATTAAACCTCACAAACGTGTATTTTAGTAATTTTACCTTCAAATCATTCTCCTACTGGACTCATTATGCAGAAAGAAGATTATATTTTGGAATAGATTTTCTTAGCTCACAGAGTAAAAAATTAAAAAACTATATAGAAAACATTTCTGAACTAATCATAAAGGGAAGATTAAGACTTCATCAATTGTCAGGTATGAATCCAGCTGAGACTGTGGCACTCTATTCCAGTGCTGAAATTAGACAATTATGGCAGATTAATGATGATTGGCAAAGAGCTTGTAGTAATTTCTTAGGAGAAATTAACAACACATGTCCAAAAAGAAAGTGAATTCAGTTTATAAAAAGAACTGAATGGAGTTTTCCCCCCACATTGTGAAAAGTACACCTGTAGTCAGAAGATTTCCTGTGTCCCACCCAGCCTATGGTCAGAACAAATCTCTCTTACCCAAGACCCATAGCCACTTACAAAATAATCACTCAGAGGTTTATATTAATTATTAACTAGATGGCCTAAGGTTCAAGCTTCTTGCTAGCTAACCCTTATAACTTAACCCATTTCTATTAATCTATAAGTGGCCATGTGGCTGTGGCATTACCGGTCTGATGGCATCTTGCTGCTTGTTGAGTGGCAGCTGGGATATGTCTCACTCTGCCCTTCTCTCTGTCTCCCTACTTGGATTTTCCTCCTGGCTGTAAGCTTTCTTGACATAGGCCCAAACAGCTTTATTTACTAACCAATGGGAACAGCATATATTCACAGTGTACAGAAAGACATCTCATAGCAGGCACCTATTTCTGGGGCTCTTACATTCTATACTGATACAAGTTAAAACTGATAATGCTCCAGCTTACATTTCTTTTTTTTTTTTTTTTTTTTTTTTTTTTTTTCTGAGACAGGGTTTCTCTGTGTAGCTTTGTGCCTTTCCTGGAACTCACTTGGTAGTCCAGGCTG